AGTATTTCTGTCAAAATTAACCTCATTTCTAACTTAATTAAATTCTGGTCTTTTGGGTCATTTAACATCAAAGTTGCCGATAATTGTGTGATACGTGATATCATAACCTATATTCTACACTATCCAAGGAAATCGTGTTATTCTTCATAAATGGTCATATGGACCCCAGGGAGTTGAGATTGATAATACAACGTGCCGTTGAGATTGACATCCAGTGATCGAGGGAAAAAACAAAGTGCCTTTGGTGTGTGTGTGTGTGTGTGTGTGTGTGTGTTCATTATGTCATATTCCTAAATCGCGCATGTAGCGCAAAGTTGAGGAGATGCACGCATTTAGGAACCATTCCAGTATTCCCTTAAGCCGCCCATCGTGGTTTCATATACATAGTCAATTCATAACTATTGGCTATCTCTCCTAGATCAGTTGTTGGGTCAGTTGCCGAAGTCCAATGGTCAGAGCTACCATCTTGATGCCAAGTACCAATTGCAATTAATTCAAACCCCCATACACAATGAGTTAAAACTGGAAATATTACTACAACATTACTATGTTATTTCAGACCGATTAAGAAGGATCAATAAGTGGTTTTCTTCAAAAACCCAATTCGGTAATCACAGGTTATCAACAACGGAATGGACAGTTTGAAGGAGTCAAACCCAAAAAGGTCAAACCTTCTTGAATAAGACATAATGAATATTACCCAAAATACCACGTTTTACGTTTTGCGTTAAGCTTTTACGAATTGCGTTAGTATTTACATATTGTCTTGATTTTACATACTGGGGTTGTACAAGCCTTACAACCCACGTATTTCTTATAATGAGAGGGCCGATTGAGTAGTCTAGTGTTACGGCGTTCGCTCGTCACGCTGAAGACACGGGTTCGATTCTCCATATACAATGTGTGAAGCCCATTTCTGGTGTCCTCCCACGTGATATTGCTGAAATATTGCTAAAAGCGGCGTAAAACCAAACCCACTCACTCACGCTAATAACGAACATGTTTGACACTCTTTGGCCAACCAGCTGGTATCATTACAATTTAATGGGCAGTAGGGTAGCTCAATGGATACAACGTTCGCCCGTCAGGTTCCTTTTCCGATATTGGTACAATGTGTAAATCCCATGTCTGGTGTCCCCTGCCTCATGTTGGTGAAATATTATGCTCAAAGTGGGCTAAAACCATAATCACTCACTCACTAACATAGTTGGGAACACGCATGGCCAAGTGGTCTAAGGTGCTTCCGTTTGACGTGCAGGGTTGTCGTTCGTGATCGTAGGTTTGTTGTTTAAAGCCTCACTCAGCAATATCCCAGCTACATGGCGGCGGTCTGTAAATAATCCAGTTTGGACCAAACAATCCTGTGATCAACAGCATGAGCATCGATCTTCGCAATTGGGATACGATGTCATGTGTCAACCAAGTCAGCGAGCCTGACCACCCGATCCCGTTAGTCGCCTCTTACAACAATCATGGGTTACTGAAGACCAATTCTAACCCGGATCTTCACGGGTATGTGGGTTTGATAGCACCATATCCACGTTTATGGGCTTCACAGAGGTGCTAGACGTCAACAACCTTCTCCACAACATAACCCTTGATCAGACTGACACGTGGTACAACCGATAAAACTGAAATAACCTCATCGCTCTCTCGTAATGTCATGATAACGTGTCAAACGTTTAAACGTGACACCTTCATTTGCATAAAATCTTAAATATTACGAAACATAATGCCTCCAGTATCAAAATGAATGAAACATACGAAAACGCGAACTAGATTGATCGTGACAACGATGACAGAAGGAAACATTTCTTCAAACATGTTCAGCTTGAAGAAAATTATCAAAGACGATAACTTGATAAAACACCCGTCATACTACACACTTACACGTGTATTGCTGCATAGTGACACATATCAACAGCACTACTGCACACCTGTGCATATTTACATGTCTGCACACATATATACTACTCAAAAGAATTAAGGAACATCCGATTCTTCTAACATGCTAACATTCACCCAGGGGAAGCCTAGTGGTTAAAGCGTTCGCTCGTCACGCCGAAGACCCGGGTTCTATTCTCCATATGTGTGAAGCCCATTTCTGGTGTCCCCCGCCGTGATATTGCTAGAATATTGCTAGAAGCGGGGTAAAACCCAAAACACTCACTCACTCACTGTCAAGCCATGAACTTTTCTCACTAGTCTATGTGCACATTTCGGATCAGCGTCCGCCAATAAAAGGTCATAGTTAAGCATGATATTTTATTCCAAGTAAGAAGTAATACATGGCGGCAGGAGTTCTTCGTCGACAAACTCGTGTGTAAATCTTGAAGTATCTTTTTCAAATGATTACATTATCATTAGATATAATTCTCCAATTACTTCCTTTACAAGCTGTTTTAGAATTCAAGTATTTGCATACAGCCAGTATCATACAATCTTATCATATCACGGCCATGTCACCGTTCTGCACGTGTCCTCGCCACTGGTACAAATGTATTATCAAAGACATACTCAGAAAACGTACGCATTTCTGTCAATCCTCATTAGACTTGATGTTCGTGGTGTCCCCGTACTGACAATGGAGTTAGGAGTTAAAAGCAAGTTGACATCCATGGAATGTTCTGAACGTGAGGTCGTTACGACAGTCGTAGTTGTAGGTGTTTTTACGACATCTTACCAGTGTCAATACCTCATTGGTCTGTATCCTTAACATGAGTCGCAACCTGGATTAGAATTGGTCTTCAGCAACCCATGCTTGTCGTAAGAGGATGAGTGGCTTGATCGGGTGGTCAGGCTCGCTGACTTGGTCGATGCATATCCCAGTCACTGGATTGTGTGGTCCAGACTTGATTATATACAGACCGTAGTCATATAACCGGAATGTGACTGTGTTCCGCGTTGAGAAACAAACATATGGTCACTTTAGGGGTAGTCGCTATTTATTATCAGCGAATCAGCGCTCACATCGACTATGTTTCTCCTGATGGCTTCTGCTGCTTTGCTATGAAACAACGGAAGACTTGTTCACACAAATATTCTTGACTTCTATCACTTGTCTTCTATCTACTGGAAATAAACATCCTGTGTTGGTTTGTTTGTTTGTTTGTTTGTTAAACACTGCCTTCAGCAATCATCCAGCTATATGGCGGCGGTCTGTCAATAATCCTGTCTGGACCGGATGTGACGCCATTTTGAAAAAGACGCCAGGGTACCACTGTACACTACTTACATATTCTCAACAAACAGTATCACAAGCGTTCGGTACGCCTTGGCCCGGGCTCTCAAAAACCAGTTCAACCCCAGACATGTATTCTGATTTGTGTTTAAATCCATAGATTGGTTTTATATATACCTAAATATCAATGTGTGATGTTACAAAATGCCACATGTAAAGATAACTGCTCCGTTAAAGTGAAGCCCTTGTCTCTCATTTTTCAACATAGCCTCAATCAAAAGTGGTTTGTCTCTGTTCAGCCCGACTTGGCCCGTGCTGTCAAAAACAACTTAAACCTCACACATGTATCTTGAAATGTGTTTAAATCCATAGATTAGTATTATATCTACCTACATATCACTTCACAGAGTCTCAAAGCGTAGTATTTGAAGCAAACACCTTGCTGAAAGTGAAGCTATCTTTTCTACATATTCTCAACAAACAGTATCACAAGCGTTCGGTACGCCTTGGCCCGGGCTCTCAAAAACACCTTAAACCCCAGACATGTATTCTGATTTGTGTTTGAATCCATAGATTGGTATTATATCTACCTAAATATCAATGTGTGATGTTACAAAATGCCAACAAATGCCGTTAAAAACTGTATATATCAAAGTATCTAAGTAAAATTTCAGATTTTATTTAGCATTGGCAAAGTGGGGTTGTTTAGTTTATGGATTCAAATGTATCAAATGTGTGTTTTTGATATCAAAGCATACGTAATAGACATCATATTCTTACATGATTAAATATCGAGGTAAAAACACAGAAAAAGGATCAAATTGGATCAGTCACTATACCATCCAAACATTTGAAAATCTGAAAAAGCCTACACTGCCTGGGATACTTTATTACAATCAGACAAGAACTGTAGGGGATATTTTCAAATAACGGCATCTTATGGGCATCCACCCTTATTATCATAGGGGGTCATTCTCACTTACCCAGCACCTTTTCTTTTTTAGCATAACTATTAATCACCTAAGCTGCTGGGTGAACGAGAAGACACCTTCCTAATGTCCCACGGATTAGGTTGAAGAAATTCTGCCACAGTGGACAGCAGCCCAGTCCGTCACGGTCGAGGGAGCAGGGGCTGACCAATTTGCAGCTAGGTTTTGTAATTAGACTGTTGGCTGGAAACTTTAATCGCTCTGCATCAGTGGCCCTTTAAGTCCTAAATAAAGCAAGTCTAAATTTCCTCAGGTTATCTCTGGTCTCCCCGGGGCTCCTTTTAAATTTAAATGGGCTTGTTTGTTACTATCAAAATTAGGGGTGTCCTCATAGTGCAGGCTCTTATTGTTCATAATTACTGAAGCAAGCAGGCATGTCAAATAGCAACACAGAGGGATTACTAGGGCACCTTATCAGTATAAACCTGTGACACAAAGTTAAAACTTTTATTTTCCCATAGAGTAACGTAATATATAGTACTTATTTTGTAAAGTATACAATCTATGGTAGGTGGCCTGTTTCGTGTCTGGAAGCAGTCCATAAATCAGATGAAACATCTTGTTGTTGACCATGACATGGATCGTGTACAGTAGTAAATACTAGGGCTTATTCCGAAGGTGCCGTCCCAGTAGAAGGTGTTGGCCCTAGTAGAGGAAAAAGTACGAAATCATGACAACAATACCAGTTACCTCCCAATTTGAATGGAAAGCGATGAAGCGTGAACGGGTGTACAATGGAGGGAGGTACTTGAATGTGCAGTGCAGCGAGGAAGACTCCCTAAAGATATGATAGCAGGTTGCTGCTTTGGTCTACGTCACGGCCCCTACGTCACCACTTCACACGCTGACAATGCTCAATATTTTGCACACGACCCTCGTCCCTCAAGCGAATTGGCGGAAGACACAGCCTCCCAGTCGCTCTCACTGGATCTAAGCTAGACTTGATTATCCAGGTAAGCTAAACTTGTCGAGACTTTTAAACAAGTTGATAGTTCAAACGAAAACTAATAATTTGTCATTAACATTTCGTATATCGCGAACACTCACCGTCGGGCTGACATATAATTTGTACAAAACCCGCTCAGCGCACAGGCCCCCACTGCGGGTCAGAAAATCGATAAACTAGGCCCCGGTTTAGTATCAACACCCCCTACTATATAATACATAAAGGTTCATCACGGAAATACGGCGACATGATCGAAAACCGGACAATTACGCACACATCAATCAATATATCCTATTTTAAAGGCCTCACCGGGATCAAAAGCTTTTGTCCATATTTCCTATGTGTGTAGGAGGCATATACACGTGCTCTCCGTGGGGGTGCATTTGTTGGAGGTTTTTTAATTGCCAAAGACCGAGTTGCTGTGCCGGAAGTGTACAAAACTAGGTCGTCAGCGCAATCAAATTGGTTAATAAAATGACAACAAATGCACGTGCTAAAATGAGAGGGAAACTCAAACGTCTATCATCCAAGATGTCACTTTCTGATGTTTTATCTTGGTAAGAATAATTTTAAAAACGAGTACAAATATTTTTTAAAGAAACACATTCATTCAGTGTAATGTGTTAGCCAATCAGATCGCCGGAGGTAGTGAAGTCGAGCTAGTTTGGTATACTTCCGGCACAGCAACTCGGTCTTTGGCAATTAAAAAACCTCCAACAAATGCACCCCCACGGAGAGCACGTGTATATGCCTCCTACACACATAGGAAATATGGACAAAAGCTTTTGATCCCGGTGAGGCCTTTAAAATAGGATATATTGATTGATGTGTGCGTAATTGTCCGGTTTTCGATCATGTCGCCGTATTTCCGTGATGAACCTTTATGTATTATCTTACCAGCGAGACGTCGCTTTCCGTCATTGTCTCAAATATACACGACTGTAGTTCACTTGGGCGAAGTTGTTAAACATGGCGAACATGCTCGTCCTGATAGATACATTATACCGTCTCTGTTGTGAGATATAGGACAAGGATGTGTTCCCTACCTATTTACTTTATACAGACAAACTGACAGATTTTCCATACGTATGTTGCATTTTTGATTGTCATCGAATTTGGTTGAGTTATATAACGAGCATATCATTTTTATTGTTATAAGTGATAATTAATGTAGTTTAGTACAGATTTGTTATGTTAGTGTTTTAACTGATTTATATCCATCAATGAACACATAAATAACTGTTGACTCATGTATGCTTTTCAAAACATGCGATATCTCACTAATTTATTTGTTCGTAAGTGTTTGACTCTAAACCTGTTACTTTGGTGAGCGTAGCCATAACGCCAAACAGCCGAGATATCTTGAGCCCTGATTCGTCATTGCGACCAAAAATAGCAGTCGCTTCACGTCATGTCAACATTAAATATAGACAAATTTGTCTCCGATAGTGCAAGCAAACAAAATTAATTGAATCTAAAAAAACCTGTATCATCAGATTCGTTTGGGATCCACACCTCATAAAATCTTAATATAAGCCAGTTTACGAAAATCCACCACAAACCACTCACCCCTGACCCCTGACCCCTGACCCCAGAACAAGGATTAATGTAAAATCTGTGCCTGTCGTTATGTAACAGTAGTAGTAGACATTCCGTTTGGTCGTTATATAACAGTAGTAGTAGACATTCCGCTTGGTCGTTATGTAACAGTAGTAGTAGACATTCCGCTTGGTCGTGCACAACAAGGTAAGAAGTTGATTGAGTTGTGTAAAAAAATGGATAGTTCACAGAGGCCCAGATAAGCTGCGTATCTGTGATAAAATACGCATAGGAAATTACCAATTACGCATTGAAAAATAATTGTTGCGTACCAATTACGCATTTAAAATGTTAGATACGCAAAATGTTTAAAACAAATGCGTACGGAATATATTTATAAAAATCGCTTGCGTAATGAAAAAGACATGGATTGCTATCAAGTTGTGCTGTTAGTATAGGACAAGTGTTGTACTGTCAGTATAGGATGAGGGATTTTTTATGAAATCATTTCCATTATATTTAAGTTGGTTTGATTAGGTATGACATAAAGTAGAACATACCTGCTTAGTAAACTTACTCGATGACATAATACTTGGGTGAGTAAAATGACTGAAATACGCACATATTTGAAAGCAGTGGGTAACGGAAAATGAAATACCCACTCAACATTCATAATACCCACTCCAAAAATATACTGTGGGTACAGTACCCACATGAGCTAAATCTTATCTGGAGCTCTGTTGTTCATTGCTAACGGTCGCGTGGGTGATGGCAAGGACTGTGGGAAGTTAACGTGTAAGGACGCCAGTACTGTTGATTACTGTATTGCTTCTGCCACCGTATTGTCCCACATCGAGACTCTAACAGTGGAAGAGGGAAGAGTTTGATCCAGTGTACTCAGATGTACATTGCGGTGTGACATTCTCTTTTACCTGCAAACATATGAGCACTGGGAATGAGACGAAACAACGAGAAAATATACCCTGTATTAATGTAATTAAGTTTGATAATAATCTTCGAGATGACTTTGTAAATAATATTGATTTATCTGTTGTAAACACTTTGTGTACATACATGGAAAATGCTAATGATGATGATGTTGCATCATGTGTAAATTCTGTTTGTAATGATTTGTCAAATATGTTTCTTAGCGCTACTCAGAATACGTTTGGTACCACTAAGGTTAAATCACCCAAAAATTGTAAAACACATAAACCTTGGTTTAATAGTGAGTGTCGAGCTTTAAGGCGTAATTACCACGCTTCGAAACTTGTGTTTGGATTAAATAAGAACAAATCAAATCGTTCAAAATTCTTGAAAGCTGATAAAAATTACAGAATTTTTTTGAAAACTTCATTTAATAACTATAAACGTGACTGTGCCGAAAAATTACGTAATTCACAGAATTACGACCAAAAATCTTTCTGGAAAATTTTAAAGTTATTTGATAATCGCACTGAAAAAGCATTAAGTATTGACAAGCAAGAGCTATTTAATCATTTCAAAGATTTGAACGCAGGACAAGCCTGCAAGGTTGATTGTGATATTTGTTCTCATGAAGGTGTGTTACATAACGACATTTTAGATTCGGTGATTACAGATAAGGAAATTCTTTCTGCTGTCCATTGTCTGAAAAGCAACAAAGCTTGTGGGTTGGATAATATAGTGAATGAGTATATTAAGTCATCGGTCTACTCCCATTTGTGAGACTCCCAGTTATGAGACAGTGGAGTAGGTTATTAACAACGAAAACACACCATACTCCCCTGTCTGATAAAATGGATTCACCCTAGCTAATTACTGATTTGCTATGTAACTGAATCTTGTGGAGGTAACTTAATGAAACTTTATAAGATAAATTGACTAACATACTCAGGTAAATGTCTTTAATAATTAAACACTTTGTGTAGGTAACTTCGTGATCAAAGAGAAATTAATTTACCTACTCAGATTTACTCCGCCGAAACTACAAGCTATAGTTTAAGAAATAACTTTGAAATTTACAGTCGAAATGCCCCTTATGCCAAACCCTTTCTACCCGACACAATAACTTTATGGAATGCCCTACCATTTGAGTCATGCAGTCTCAAATAATTTTAAAACCTAATTACAAAAACCGAGAACAAGATTTATGTTGATCTTAATTATGGCTCTTGTTTTTGTCAAATCGTTCACTGCCGCCTCAGGCTCGAATCTAGCTACCCAAACGCCGATAAGTATAACAGACATTTAATAGACAGTCCATGTTGCTCTTGTGGATAATTTTTTTAACGGAAACAAAGAATTTACTCCTTGTGTAAACCAGAAAATAGTTGAATCCGTCCACGATTAGTTCATCAAGACACAACCTTCAAATTTTCACAGGGAAATACTGAAATTAACTCAACAACCTTCTCCTGATTGATTTATATTCCTACAATAGCTTGTTAGACACACACAACGGTAAGTCTCTAATTATGACTACTTAGAGAATAGTTGCATTTGATGTAATCTGTATATATTTATATGTACTTAAAATATATATTATGCAATAGTCAATATCGATGACGTCACATCTTCCATTTCATACTTTATGTTGCATGGGAGCGGTGTTAACATAAGCAGTAATACTTCACCAATCCCAATTCATTTTCATAAATAATAAAATATGTTTAAACCAAAATGACTTTCAAACTTCATAATAGTCAATAAAAATGTGTTATCATAACATATTCTTCTGAATAAATATAATATTCAATGAACTATTTCTTCTGTGTAAATATAATTCTTTGATAATCTATTTCATTAATCAACTCATCAATGAACTATGCCTCCTGTGGGTACTGGGCTGGGCTGATCCCACTTTCATTGTAGGGATGTGGAAACACCACCTATGTGCACTGAACCATTAATTAATGTGTCTCACAACTGGGAGTTCTCACAAATGGGAGGACACCTACTTGGTCTGTTCTCAAAACCGCTTTTAAACCACACACAATAGAGACACACTTGCTAGGACCTTTCAATGGTGAATTGAAAAGACTTCGAGTGTTGAAACGGCCAATAACACGAAAACATTAAACATCCTTTAATACTGCTATTTTCCCCGTGTCTAGACGCTATGTCGAACGACACACGCACTGCTTGTAGAGAGGTCTGACAGAGCAAGTAGGTGTTGAGTTCGTAGGTTTTGAGGGCAGTTGGGTAGCGTGGTGGCTATAGCATTGTCTCACCGTCTGATTTATGATATACCCGTGTTGCGAAGGTCGTCGTCAGGGCGACATTGGAGTGTAATTGAGGGGGTACGGTTTAAAGACGCCTAGTGAGTAAAGTTTACGCCGTTTAGTGAAGGAGTGAATATAGAGAATACTAAACTATGTCCCGTGTAATACCATATTTATAAAACGAGTGAATAAGATACCAATAATATTCACGAGTTTCATTGTATTGTGTTTGTCACACCGTTTAGTGTCACGATCAACAGTTTATCAAAGGTTTTAAATAATTCAATCGATTTATCACTTTTGGTGGATGATTTTAATATTTCTTGTCGCGGTAAACATATCCATACTATTGAACGGAAACTGCAGTTGTGTTTTAAACAAAATACATAAATGGTGTCTTGAAAATGGCTTTACATTTTCTAAGTAAAAAACTATCACAATGTCTTTTTGTCTTACTGTAACTGTAATGTAGGCCATAGGCCCATTATTACAACAATCGTTACAGGCTTTATCTTGGGGGATGTACAACAGATAACCAGGGTACAATCAGGAGGGTGCGGAACGTTTTACATTTGCTAGTAAATATACATAGCAGTATTTCTAATAACTTGACATAATGACATTAACATTTTGAACTTCTGTAAAGATGGATACTTGTAAAACTTTTCTGCACTATATCTAATGCTTAAGTCATTATAATAATCACACACTAATAAAAAATGGTATCCATTTTCTACTTGTATACACTTCTGTAGAAAATATATCACGCATAAGAACCCAGAACTATTTTTAAAACACACTCCCATCAAAGTTGTCAAGTAGGCCAAGTTCTAGGGCCTACTTTTCGACTCCGATTTAACTTTTGTTCCGCATATCAAATATCTAAAAAATAAATGCCTGAAGGCACTTGACTTGTTGAAAGTCGTTTCAAATTCTAAGTGGGGAGGGGATCAAGCTACCCTCCTACACCTATATCGTTCATTGGTCCGTTCGAAGCTTGATTACAGCTCCATCGTATATGGTGGAGCCTGCTTTAAAATTCTTGAATCTGTCCACCACTATGGTCTAAGACTTTGTCTTCGGTCTTTTAGAACTTCACCTGTTGATAGTCTCTACGTCGAGGAAGATGAGCCTTCTCTTACCCAACGACGTATAAATTTATATTTACAATATATTACAAAACTATATTCTAACGATTCTTACCCTGCATTTAACTTTGTACAACAAAACGCCTTCTCTTGTTTAGCCTCTTGCGCTAAGAATTAAACCATTCATTTCTGCTGCCGGCATTGAACTGGAAAATATATCACCTTCCCCGTCTTCTCACTTCTCCTCTTTGGCAATTAGTGAGACCACAAGATAAACTAACACTGACTAAGTCTAAAAAATCAGAAACTATTGAATTACAATATAAACAAGAATATAATCAATTAAAAAAGTAAATATAATACATACAAATCCTTAATTACATACGTGTTCAAGGATGGTGTCGCAGCTGCTTGTGCCACTGTCACTGGATCCAGAAGAATATCTTCTAGGATACTGGATAACAGTTCTATTTGTACAGCAGAAGCAAACACCATATTAACGGCTCTTAAATATATTCAAAGACACCCTATAGATAAACAATATACAATCTTTTCTGACTCTTTTTATTGCCTTCAGGCGATTAAAAACATAATATTATGTTGTAAACTCCCACTTTTAATAGAAATTATTAAGTTATATAATGATCTTGCTACTGGCCAATGTGACCTCGTCCTCTGTTGGTTACCTAGCCCTGTTGGAATCTCTGGTAACACAATGGCCGATCTTGCTACTGAAGCAGCACTCAACAAATTTGAAGAGGTCATCATGCGACGATGTCGTATTGGCCATACCGCAGCTTGTATATATAGTCATGAATCCCTATTAAAAGGTGAGGATCCTCCTTTGTGTATCCCTTTGTGATGAAAGAATCACGACCAAGCATGTCCTGCCTGACTGTATTGATTTTTCCATCACAAGGAAAAATATTTCAATGTCAAAACAGCGAAGGATCTTTATAATGTTAATTAATATTTTAATTATTGAATTTGTAAAAGAAATTAGAATTATTCGATAAAAAATCTGATAAATAGTTTGTAAATAGAAATTTAAACTTACCACATTTTTAATCGTAGAATATGTGTTCTTTGCATGTATGGCTAGATTTGCCTAACTGCTAACAGTTGAAGGGATGGTGTAAATCCAGCTAGGGTCTATGCAGGAAGCAAATGTACTGTAAAGTCCCCATGATCCCTAGTATGGTGATCTACCTTCAGTTATTGGCGATCTACTCATTGGACTTCGGCAACTGACCCATATATATATATATGGTCTTGTCTTTCATAGTTAAGATTTTAGATTTTCATACTAGTTTTACATATATAACTCTGAAATTCTAGTTATTTTACTGTCCTTTGCAAACAGGTAAATATGGTATCTAAATTTGTTTTTACTCATTTATAAATTTACAACTTTCTTAGGTAGCTGTACTTCTAGAATGAATCTATCTACAAATCATGTCATGAGGGACTTGTTTCAGTGTGACTTTGGCCTTGAGAAAGTCAAGAGATAGAGATATTGATGAAGAGCACAAATGTTGAAAAAAGTTAAAGGACACATATCGCTACAGTAAAGGCCAAACATTGGTGACAGTTATATGGTGGCAAATACACCCAAATGATGACACCAGGTGCTTACAGAAAAGGGCAAATACTAACTGACAGGTAGAACCAAAAGCAACTTACACACTTTGCACTGAAAACTTCTGAAGTGTACTACATGTATATTTGTTTGTTATTTCAGCAGAATCATGGAAAAAAACAAAGGGTATAGCATTGCTATAGTCTCAACACTCATGGTCTGGACTGTAGTGGAATACGTGGCTTCAAACTATTATTCTCAATTGGACACGAATGATTTCATTGTACCAGCAAAAACAAGTAGACTTTTAGCGAGTCAGCTGAGAGCCCTGGATGCCCGGATGTAAATACAGGTATGATGAGAGGAAGATGGAGGAAGCGAACTCTGACTGCACAAGAAAGAGTAAACATTGACACATTTCTGAAGTCAGTCAGATATCGCGTGCCAAAGCCAATGCAGAGACGCGACGGAAAATGTGGAAACGTGGCCTATGAAAATGTTTACTACATTCGTGCACTGTGTAACCCAGAAGGTGCGACGCCATGTTGCTATGTCAATAGGTGTAGAAACAAGAGCCCGAATGGCTGTAAATGTCCGAACTGTTACGACCTTCGGAACGAGATTCATGCAGAGTATTCAACATGGGAGCCTCAAGATTCCCGATGTCAGGTGAAGAACTTCACGGCTCAGCAGGCATGTGATCTTCTACAGGGTCTGACAATATCTGCTACTGGGAATTCATTCATGCGCCACCTGTACACAGCTCTCCTGCTACTGCTGAACAACTATGACAGTAAAAGGGTCTTCAGAGCTGGTAAACCAGGAGGTATGTATATGTGTACCATACTGATTGTAAATGTTTCACTAAATGCCAACTTTTAAGACATTTACAACATGTTGTGAATAATTTCGACCCTTCGTCTGGAGAAGCCGTCTCCGTGGTGTAGTGGTTAGAGTGTCTGCCCGGAGAGCGGAAGGTCGCGGGTTCGATCTCCGGCCGTGTCATACCAAAAGACGTTAAAATATGGTATACGTTGGTCCCTGCCTGGCGCTCGGCCATAATGGGTACAACAAGGACTGGTCGGCTCGGTGTCAGTACAATGTGTCTGAGTGGGATAAACATGCCTCACTGCAGCATGGTATCTCACTTGGCTAACACTATAAAACCAGCTTAAGTCTGGGCTAGTACAAGCAGCCACACATACACACGCATGCACGTCGTCATATGAGCGAAATATTCCTAAGTACGGCGCGAAACCCCATTTAACCTAACCTAGCCTGGAGAAGCTGGCCAATTCCCTTGTTTAAGATGTTTGTCCATCTGAACTCTGCCATGGTCATTGGTTTGAAGAGATGAATGAGATTTAAGTAGTGGAGTGATGTGTGCCACGTGCCTGCCTGGGAGCTGGAGATGCAATTCGTGCGGCTGTGTTTTGAACATACTGAAATCTGTTGATCAGAAATGTGAAAGCATTAATCAAGAGGCATTTACAGTTATCGAGACGTGAGATGACGAGAGAGATCGTGAGTGTTATAGTAGCATGTAGTATTGACGTGCATGCGTGTGTATGTGTATGTGCGGCTGCTTGTACTAGCCCAGACTTAAGCTGGTTTTATAGTGCTAGCCCACTGAGATACCATGCCGCAGTGAAGCATGAATACACCACTCAGACACTTTATACTGACTCCGAGCCGACCAAACCTTGATGTACCCATTAATGCCAAGCGCCAGGCAGGGACCAACAAGTACCATATCGAACCCGCGACCTTCCGCTCTCCGGGCGGACCCTCTGACCACTTCACCACAGAGGGGGTCTTATATATGCCAAGTGAGTCACGTGAAACAATATTGCTCTGATTCAGTTTCAGATATCTCTTGCGACGGAATATACGCATTCTCGGGCAAAGCATGTCAATCAAGGCTTATCTTGAGAACAGCAACCCTCTGTAATGGTACGTTGAATGTGGAATTATCTGCAATACCTCGTGCCTCAGAGGCGAAACAGTTCCATGAGAAGTTTCGTTTATTTCTTCATCGAAAAAACACAGTGATTCTAGTTGGCATTGGAATCCACGATCATTTTAACTTTGACTTAGTATTTAATGAATATATATATCCCGTTATAGATATGATCAGAAAGAGGAAGGCTTCATGGCCCAAGCTGATCTGGTTTGCCACACACAAATTTGGTATCATGAAATCTCCAAAGATGCCAAAACAAGAAAACAGCCATGTAGCAGCCTTTAACAAACGCATGTCTGCGGCGTTAGGGAAATATCATATACCCATATTCGACACATATAATCTAACTTCCGGTGTGATGAGCATGGACGGGACTCATTTTGGAATTGGTGTAAATTCCATGAAAGTACAGATGCTTCTGAACTATTTGTTGGAATTGAAATCAAAACTATATTGGTGAACCAAAACTGAAACCGCTGTCACATTTTAACACATTGGCACAATAACTGGTGTGTGTTAAATTGATTTTATGAGTACTTATACGTAAAAGCGTCAGTATATACAAAGAATCATGCGTTTTGAGTTGTGTTTAGATGCAGTTTCCATCGTAAGAGAACTGATTCAGGAAAAGTGAAGTGAGAGTTTGTGTTATTTGTAAAATGAACTGTAGACAAGAAAAATGACATTTCATTTTGAACTGTAATGATGAGCGGAGAACCTACATATTATATCACAGCTACTAAATACACACTTAGTCTAGTAATATCGTTCGCTAACGAATTCGCTGTCACCATCTATCTATGTCCTTGTGTACAACGATGTGTACAGGAACAAGTTGGCACCTATTGTAAGTTGGCAAATTGGCAAGTTGGCACTCGATTGCTGTAGAATCATGGATTCGCAATGATGAATGAATAAAGCACATTAAATGCATTATAACGCCTCATCAATCATTTAGGGAACAGACACATGGCCCAGTCGTCGGAGTGACCGCAAAGTTTGTGCTGTAGGTCACCTTGGATCTGCAAATTAGTGGTTCGAATCCAAGTTGGTGTCAACCGTTATGCTTAACTTTAGTATTCCCTGCCAACAACAACAACAACAACAACAACAACAAAAAGCGACAGATGTTATGGGGATAGACAATAAAACCCTTTCCATATCCGTAAAAAATCTAAAAGCTGAGTAGATTGTACAGTTCTGACAATATCATGAGTACGGTCTGTAAGTACGATCATTCAATTGTTCATCTGAAAACATTTGAGAACGTGTGGTACAAGTCAAACTAAGGAATTGCATTGCACATAACATTTTGAAATGTCCGCCTTATGTCTGCCATACAACTTTTGGAATGTTTTACCGAGGCCTTGAATGTTGAAACCTGAGATTCTCCACATGGGTACAATGTGTGAAGCCCATTTCCGATGTCCCCCATCAGGGGAATGGATAACATTCTAATACCATTGTCAAGCATCCAACTGTATAAGAATCTATACCAAACCAAAAGTTTTGTTATCTCTATACTACCAACTTCTAGAAATATTGGTTATTCTCAAATAAATCACGGTAAATCTTATTCTTTAACGAGCTAATGTTTATCATGTATATACAGTCGTGCACCGTTGTCTCGATATTCATGGGCCCAAGAACAAATGTCGAGTTATCCGAACTTCGAGACATCCGATCTGGGCATATCATCACATCACAATGAAAGAAAACAAAACGCTTCTCAGTATGTCTTGATTCGAAACTATAATCCGTTATCAGTAGTGTTTAGCCGTAACAGTGAGTACTTCCTAATTAAATCCTTCTTAACTAATCCTTATTAAATAACAAACAAGTGACAATGCACCTTCAACTCAATTAGCCCTAAATAGTTTACACTACCGCATCTCTTTGATTCGTGACGCACCGTGTGTAAACGTGAGGAAACAACCTCAGTTCAGAGGGATACTTGCCCATGGAAGGTATCGAGTTAAAGAGGTTGAATAATGATAAATAATGAAGGATTTTGCCGAGACCGAGACGTTATATCGAAACAGCCGAGATATCGAGTTATCAGAGTTCGACACAACGGTGCTCGACTGTACTTTATTGTAGGTTCTCTCATGTATATAAGCTACCTTATATGTGCATTAAAAATGCTTTTGTATATTTACTTTTCATGTATTGGTGGAATAATCACGTGCTGGGTGCCGTTCCACTAACTGATCTTAACTAAGATAAATCTTAGAAAGTTATGCCAATTTTACAATCGTCTTAGCTAAAAGCTACACCCGTTCCACTAACCGATCTTAGGCCGATCGTAGCCGGTCCCGATCTTACGATCCGATCCAAGCTTAGATGGAGACTCTTTCGTTAGAGAGATAGAGGAATGCGAGGCACGAGTTATTTCCCTTTGCATAGTCTAGCAAATGATGGAAGTAGTTTACGAACCAACTGAGTGAGTGAGTGAGTGAGTTTAGATTTACGCCCCACTCAACAATAGTAGAGCTATATCGCGGCGGTCTGTAAATAATCTAGCTAATTAAGATGCATAGCGTTCCCTAACATGAGCGTTCATGTTAGTGAACGCTGTGTATCTTAGCTATAAATAATCGAGTCTGGACCAGACAATCCAGTGATCAACAGCATGAGGATCAACAGTTGGGAACCGATGACATGTGTCAACCAAGTCAGCGAGCCTGACCACCCAATCCCGTTAGTGGCCTCTTACGACAAGCATGGGTTATTGAAGTTCAATATTCTAATCCGGGCCTTCGTGGGAATTTTCCAACCAAGTGTAAACGTGGAGAAAAAAACTAGAGCAAAATATTAGGGTAGTGAGCACCTTGGTTTCAACTGCAAGTGTGTGTGAACGCTGGGTATCAGGCATAATATAATAATAATATATACATATTTATAGTGCGCCTATTCCACATCCTGGGGCATGCTCAAAGCGCTATGTACAGATAATTAACAGGTTTTAAGTCTAGACTTAAAAAATGTCAATTGTGTCAGAGCTTTTATTATGTGCCTGAACCTTGTCAATCAGAATAAACAAGGCGTGACGAGGCATCCTCTATAATGTATCTAGAATCTGTCAGTGGTCTTGAATAACACGCGTCCTGCCTTTAGAATCCCCCACCAAATAAGCGCACGTGAAATCAAACATATTTGTATCTTTTTGTTTCAGAAGATTGTTCACTTCACTGCTGTCCCTATTCTTAACTATGACATTGCAATATTGTTGTACAAATGTGTTACACCGACTCGCTCGGTTGTGTTCCAATGACGACAGTGGTCAGACTGGCCTGACATTTGTAAGGCTTCTGTGCAGTGTTTGTTTACCAA